GGTGGGATGAAATATGCTAATTTTTTGGGACAAGCATTTTGGGTTTTCATGAGCTGTATGCCATAATCATCAGTATTAAAACAATTAAAGACCTGAAATATTTCAGTTGGTGTGCAATGAATCTGAAATATATGAAAGTTTCATTTTTATCATTACATTATGGAAAATAATGACCTTTATCACAATATGCTAATTTTTTTAGAAGGACCTGTATTTTGCGATATGTTTTTGGTATAAAACTTGCAATAGGAATTAAAAAAAAAAAAAGCATAGGGTGTCCTTTTGCCTTCATATATTTTGAATTAAGAAAATTCCACTACTAGGTCCAGAGAGTTTTTAAATAATAAACAAATCAAGTATTAGGCTTCTTTCTTGTAGTGCAAAACAGTGCAAAAGATATTAAATGTAGTTTTAGCCATGTGTTTTAAACAAAATAATGTGTTGTTAACTCAACAGTTTCCAGTCTTACTTAAGAAATGAACAGCAACAGAGCAGCAACTGAAACACTTCACCCTCCAACCTCTAGATGGCGACTCCTTCCGCTTTAATGGAGCTGACACAAAATGAGTCTGTGGCTTTGACCAGAGGGTCTCGCAGTAAAATCACACAACACAGCGTTCTTTTCACAGATCAGAGAGCAGGTTTCTCTAACGCTGACCAACGCTTACTTTAACTTTCGATGGAAAAAACCAACTTTCAACGGAACACAGCATTTTGCGCATGCATCCGAATACAACAACACTATGGCAAGCCTGCTGTAGTTAGTTTGTACCTTCGCTACTTAGCTCTCGAAGAAAAGACTTTAACGCCACTTGGGCACAGTTTTCAGCTCAAAAAAAGTAACGATTAAATGTGACAACTGATTTTACTTCAGACACAACATTACTGCGGTTAGCCGGTAGAAGACGGATCTCTATCGTAGGCTAAATTTCTATTGTTTCTACCGTATACCGTATATATCGCGCATTCCTAGCAACAAGCATCATCCACACCCTCAGAGTGAACATTTTCTACTGCTGGAGACACCATCAGCCAGGAGTGGGCTGGTTTGTGTCCATAGAAAACAGACATGTTGATGTTTCTGAAGACAACTGTTAAGTGAAAAGGTCCTCAGTGCGTAGCAGTGAACATTAGACACTGATGTGTCACTGATTTGAAACTGGTCTTTTGAACTGGAATTTATT